GGGAAAAATTGTTATACATGCATATTATTAATAACAGTTATGAGATCATATAATTGTGAATGTATATATGAAATTGATAAAATTTAAAAGAAAGCATTTTATACATAGCTAATGAAGACAAATCACTTTACCCTTTATTTTCAAATTGTCTATTTTGGAGACAGGTAAATTATCCAAATACACAGAACGGAACTGAAATAAATTCTAATTTTCCTATAAAGCTTGCTAGTATTCTGTAAAAGCAGCAATTATTCAGGAATAAACTGTTAAACCATACCTATTGTTTCACATACTGCAAAGTTGGGGTTTGTTTGATCTTGAAAAAGCAAATTATATCCTGGCAGATAAGCAAGTTATGGTGAAGTATTAAGTCAATTTCATTTAAGTCAAATTCATTTTTCAATAATTGATCATGATGAAAAAAATGAAATTTTAACAATATAGCAGAAAAATCAGGATTTTTCAGTAATTCTGAATAGTATTTTGACTTTACTAATGTTTCTGGATAGCCCTCTTCTTATATTAATTCATTTTTAATTCATCCACTCCTGATGACTCACATGGACACACAGCCATGTATTTTCTTAGCATAATAGGCTTTCAGTTTTTTTGCAAGTCAGAGCTACTGTAATTGTCTATTACATTTTTCCTGAGGGGAGGATTACGCTCATTCTTCAATTCTGTAGTGTAAAAACAATATACGTGGAACAAATAAGCATGATTGTAATATAATTCCCGAATTATTATTTTTGAAAGGCTGTCTTTAGCATGTCTTTTCTGAATATGGCATCTCCAGAAAAACATCCTTCGGGATTGGGCGGCATATAAATATATTTAATAAATATATTTGATAAATATATTTAATAAATATGGTTTTATGTCTAATCAGAATTCCCACCCAGAGAATTCCCATTTGTACATGAGTGTAGCATAGTACTCCATTGATCCTGCTGGGAATACAAGTTAATGGGAGACTTTCCCATGTTGATAAGATAGAAAAGAGAGGGAAAATAAAGAGCAAGTTTCGGTGGATGTAAGAGTTAAAATAGGATTCTGCAGGTAGTTATCACATTTAAAGAAGAACGTTTAATATCTACCCCAGAGCAAGGTAATAGTAAACCATTCCTGTATTTTTATCCTGTAAACACAATGTAGGAGGTAGGAGATTATCACATATTTAATTGCCAATACAATACATCTGAACCTCCCAGGATAAATTAGTGAACTGAAGGTAGCTCTGCAAAATCCAAACCAGTGAGGAACCAATGAGTAGATTGGATTCCTGGAATATCTCTGAATAAGGAAAAGATAGGATATTGCCTACATGTGCTCCCCAAATCCTAAAATGTAGCAAAACTTTCTATTAAAAATGTTATACAAAAATAAAAATGAACACAAACTTAGAACAAAAAATGAAGAAAAAGCCACAAAAAAAGAAAAAGTAGAAATAGAAAGTAATTTCCATTTTTACAGCAAATATAAAAATACAAAATTATTCTCTTTAGCTCTCTTTTTATGTATTTTTTCTAGTCATCAGATCCATGTCTTAAGTTCATTTTTCCAATCAACAATAAATACGGATATTGTCTTTTATCTTACCAAAGAAGTCAATTCAGCCATTTTTGCAAATTCCATTCCTCCAAAATGAATGCCAAATCTTTACTTTTGTGCACTTTAATAATCTTGCTACAGTTATCATATATAAAAATAAAATTCTGTGACTTATTTCCTTCTGTTTTGTCCATCAATTTCCAAAGAAAATACATCTGTTTGAATTGTATTTAATCTTGTATGATCTTCTGAATTCATGTTTTTACTTGTATCCAAAATGTCTTGCTTTTTAAAAAGTCCATCAAAGATGGTAAAATGTCACTTCATGTAGTTCCCATTTCCAACATAAATTTATACATTCTAGACAGTAAAGTTTATTACATTCTAGACAGTGTCTCTGATGATCTATACATCTTTCTTTTGTTTTTAAGTAACATAATATAAATTTAGTCCTTTCAACCACATATTTTCCCATGTTATGTTTAGTCCATGTTATCATATTTTTTAACTTTTTCTTCTATTTCAGTAAAAGTTTATATATTTTAGCAATTACATGTTCATCATTTGTACAACTTTATTTTAAATTCAATCTTACATTATTCCAAACCATACATTATTTTATCTACTTTAAATCTCAGAATAAAGTTCTGCCATGACTTTATAAATGATTACCAGCATCTTGAATTCTGCCTGGAAGGAAACTGACAACCAGCATAGCTTGCAATTAAAAGTGTTTCATAGGTATAGCAAGGTCTACCAAGACGACTTCCGATGGCACCACATTCTGGATTAGTTGTAGCTTCTGAGTAATTTTCAAAATCAGCTCCATGTAGAGCACTTTGCAACATATGGAGTGAGTGATGACTGTTTTTTCTCCTTCACAATTTGTTCAAACCAGACTACAAGACAATTCAGTTTAATCACAGTTTGCTTATTGCAGTAATGGAGCAGCAAGGTCCCTTTGTATAGTTTGTTAGAGCAAAAAGGGCATTCAGGGTCTTCCTAGCTATTATAATAATGGGACTTATAGTACTATCAATAGCACTTAAGAGTTATATACTGTTCCATAGTTCTTTACAGCACTCGAGGAGTGGTGGTGTCTGTGTGTGTTACTATGTCAACATATTGCCCCCCCAAACCTGGATCCTCATTTTACCAACCTCAGAAGGACAGAAGGCTTAGTCAACCTTGAGCTATCAGTATCAAACTCCTGACTGGGGGCAGAATTTGTCTGCCATATTGCATTCTAACTACTGTGCCATCATAGATCATACATTATCATAAATTGGTTTTGGTTCCAAGAACTATATTTGCTTTCTAGTATTTTCTGGATTTATTGGTATTATTTGTCCCTTAATTTTTTTTTTAGCGAGCCGACAGAGTTTATTGTTCTGGAAAGGCAGTTAAGGGCGGTGGATATTTTGTTTTGTTTAATTTTACTTGTCAAACTTGTCAAATCTGGTACCACATATCCTCCTACAAGTGACTTTGAGAAGGACCTTCCAATTTAGGAGAAATTACAACTGGTGTACAAGAAGCATTTGTGCAGACATCCCTAATCATGGTTACATTTGCTTTCTGAACAAGAACCTCAAACTCCAGAAACATCCTCAAGCTCTGCCAATCAGCACTAAGATATTTTTACCTTCTTCCTTTAACCTTCTTTCCCTTCATTCTAATCCCCTTGGCTTTAGTAACCTTAGATGTTAAAGTCCTTGAACATACCAGACAACAATCCAATAGCTGTATCACATGACAGGTCTTCTTGCTCTGAAGGACTACAAGGGAGGCAATCTAGCTGGAAAATCATGACTAGCATCTAGGCAGCAACAGTACTCAGACTGGTACTCAACTCAAATAAACAGGTAAATTTCAGAAGAAGTAAAAGTGAGTACAGAGGGATATCAGAAGGAAGAGAGCAAGAAAGTATAAGCAAGAGGTTAACTTTGTTCATTGACTACACAAAAGTTAATGACTTGATTAAACTAGTATGGGGAACCTACTAAGAGAAATTCAGACCAGAACATCTGATTATTTTTTCTGATGAAATTTTGCAGTGATAAGAAGCTACTGTAAGAAACAAATTTAGAGAACCGAGTAATTCAGAATCGAATAAGTGAGGCAAATATGCATTTGTTCCCATATCTGTTGAGCACATCAAATGAATATATTTTAAGAATGGCTAGATTGAAATATATGACAGTTGAAATCAAAACAGAAGGCTGAAACACTAAAAATATCCATTATGAAGATGACACTATTTTATTTAACTGCATTTTGAAACAGCTTGACTCCTTAATAATTTCTATGGTTTAAATTAAAAAGAAAAACAACAAAACACACACATAGAGGGAAGGGCAACAGGAAGACTGAACACGATGAAATTAACCAAGAGGGATCCCATAACCATCCCATCCTAAGGCTGGGAGAACCACCAAGTTTCTGCTCAGATTTCTTAAGACTAGAGATTAATTCACTAAAGTGGGTGCCTATAAAATGGGTAATCATCTAAGACCATGCTATGGTTTCTGTAGTTCTCATGGGTTGAGAAGACACAGTCCTTTGCTCATTTAGAAAACATTGACTCCAATTTTTTTTTTCTGGCCAAACCTTTTGTGTATGTGTCAATTCTGTAGACAGATAATAAAACCACATTTCCCCTTTTGTTTATTCTCAACAGCCATCAAGTCCTACAACATGTTGCCCAAACTAAGTTATTCTTGATTCTATGAATTAAGTTGGAGTTTAGGGGGCTGAGAGACAAAATTCTGATGACATCATTCCCATTTAATATAGAGCTGTGTGTCTTAAATTGTATAAGGACCCTTGAAGTTCCCCCAAGTCCTGAGAGGGTTTTGGGGGAACCTCAAGGGTCCTTATACAATTATTTGCCAGCTATTGTAGACATTTTTACACTTGCATGGCAAGCTTTGCCAACATAATCTGAACTAAAATCATCTTTTTTACCTGGCAGCTATCAACACCTCCAGCTAGAAAGCCAGCACAGAGCATATTCACTGTAATTGTTTCAGCATACCAGCCAAGTTTATTACACATTTTCTGTGGAATAATATCTACTTGAGCTTCTTGTAATATTAAGTTGTTTTGACCTGTAAAAAAATATAATATATCATGACATTGTGAAACAAATCAGTCATTATTTGAGACAACTAAGCATTTCTGATATAGTCTACCAAGCTTACATTACACTTAACACTCTGGAAAGTGTAATGTAATTATACTGTTGGTCAAAATAATCTTCAAGATTCGTGTATTTTTGGAGTCGTGTCTAATTTTGTTTGGCATCCAACTTAGAACCCAAGATTTAGCAGAACACCAAGTGCTGTTAAGATTTTTGTTTTATTATTTTATTTCTATTCTGATGAATTGTATGTTTTAAAGGCTTTGTTGTCCTGTCATGTTACCATGTAATGATGTAAGAATTATTTTTATGAATTCATTTTTGTGTTCAGTCTTACTTGTATAGTCAGCATGGCTGAGTTCAATAAGGAAAAAATAGGAATCAGTAAAATCAGGGTCAAATTACTCCCCAGTGCTTTAGATTAGATTTTTAAAAGATTTATTTTATTCTTGTAGTTATTATGACATTAAGTATGTTTATTCATTTACTTGTCCACTGCCTTTATTATTTTTACAAAAAAAAACCAACACAGTGATATATACTAAGAAGTTTCTATATTTTAATTGGTCTTGGCAAGTAATTTTAGTATCTGCTTCAATCCTGAAGTAGTGGGCACAGTTGTCTAAAGGGTAGATCAGTAAGATAATTAAGGATAAATATTAACTAGCTATTAATTATATGCAATGAAGCTTAAATTATAGTGGGATTTATTTCATGTAAAATTCTAATCCTGATGAGGAAAATATCACTTTAATTTTAAGGTTTTCTCAAGGTAATTCTTTCTTCTGACAGATGCAGAAAAAAGAACCAAGATCCTGAATACTGTAATGTTTGTTGTTGCTAGTTGCAAAGTCATGTCCCACCCATCACAACCTTATGGACAACATTCCTTGAGGCTTTCTTATCTTCTACCATCCTCTGGAGTCCATTTAAGCTCACGCCTACTGCTTCGGTGACTTCATCCAGCCACCTCATTCTCTGTCATCCCATTCTTTTGCCCTCAATCTTTCCCAGCATTAGGATCTTCCCCAGTGACTCCTTCCTTTTCATTAGGTGGCCAAAGTATTTGAGTTTCATCTTCAGGATCTGACCTTCTAAAGAGCAGTCAGGGTTGATCTCCTAATAGCTGAACTCAAATCTTTGAAATCAAACTAAGACTGTATACCTGTATTCCTTCCAACCAATTGCCCCTTGAAGTTTTTTTTTAAAAAGTTTAAAAAATACTGCAATCTGCTAAATTAGTGAAACTCCTACTTCCCCTATTTTGGTGGTTTTTTTTACCAAAACATTTCTGAAATTTCAGAGGCAATTTTATATGTGTGGTGATGGTGGTGGTTACATTTTTTAATCATAAATTAGTTTCAGTGTTATTTATCCTCTCAGAGTTGAGGACCAAACAGCTTTCAGTATACGGGCCAATAAACTCTACAGAATTATACCGAGAAAAATGAAGTTGGGTTGAGAGTTAACGAAAGTAATTACGACCAAGCATGTTTATTTGTTGCATGTATATTTATGTCACTGTCATTTTAACAGAAATGCTGCAAATAATAAAGATAATAAAGTGTGCTGTTCTTGGTGCTAAAGGTACTTTGCTTGGGTAGCGAATCCTACATTTAATTTTAGCAGGCTAAACACTAGTGAAATCTTTTGATGGTTGTTTTTTAGTTTCAAATGTTGGAAGGTAGAACTAGCCAGATTCAGCAACATTCTAAATAGGGTCCTTTTTTAGTTTGTAAGATTAAAAAAGCAAATGCTTTGAGGATAATACATCTGTTCAGGTTGCTCACATCTAATTAGTAAGGCCAGGAGCAGAATTAAATGTAGTCTGAACAGCCAAGTGATCTCATCTAACAGTAAAAAGAGCTGTTACTGATTACTATAGACCTGAATGGGGAGAGCTATCTTTCAGATTTCAGCACCCAGAAAGCTTAAGATGTAAAAGTCATTTCATATTTTAAGAGTACAATTAGGGTCTCAATTTGGTTTCAATCTAACTGTATGCACCTAACTTCACTGTGTCTAGGTAAAGTCTTCAAGTTGAGTTTGACTCCAATGTCCACACAATTTTCTTGGCAACAGTACAATAGTGGTTTCCTACTTCCTTCTTCTTAAGACATATTTTAATTTCCCACTCTAGCTTACAGCACAAGTATTAGTCCATGAAAACCTTTCATTTGGGATCTTGCTTAGCTTCTGAGCTTAGACAATGTGATCCACATGTCATTTGCTGAAGCTCTCACCATATCTATTCCAAAATCCTGTATATGAGAATACCGAATTAAGTAAACTGTAATTCACAGAGCACTTCAGTAGATGGCAGCATTAGTTAACCTAATGAGAGTCAGTTTGGTCTACAGATACTGTAGTTCTAAAGTTAAAGGCAATTGGGTCCAGAATTTTCACCACTAAGCAATCCAGCACACGACTAGAGATCCTGGAGCACCAGGGAACTGCCAGAGGACTGGAAAAGAGCTGATGTGGTTCCCATCTTCAAAAAAGGAAAAAAATAGATCCAGGAGACTATAGACCTATCAGCCTGACCTCAATACCAGGGAGGATTCTGGAAAAGACAATTAAGCAACAAATTAGCAGACACCTAGAAGTAAACAAAGTAATAGCCAAAAGCCAACATGGGTTTGTCAAAAACGGAATCACGCCAGACTAATCTTATTACATTCTTCGACAAGGTGACAAAATTAGTGGACCAGAGGAATGCCGTTGATATAATTTACTTGGACTTCAGTAAGGCATTTGATAAAGTAGACCATAACCTACTACTAGATAAAGTAGAAAAATTTGGGTAGATGGCCACCAGATGGATTCGTAACTGGCTGACCAACCACACTGAACATGTAGTCCTTGATGGAACTGCATCTATATGGAGGGAAGTATGCAGCAGAGTACCCCAAGGCTCTGTTTTAGGCCCAGCACTCTTCAACATCAATGACTTGGATGTGGGGATAAATGGGGAACTCATCAAATTTGCAGATGACACCAAGCTGACAGGAATAGCCAACGCTCCAGAAGATAGGCTTAAGATACAGAAGGATCTTGACAAACTTGAACATTGGGCACTAACAAAATGAAATTCAATGGTGAAAAAAGTAAGGTCTTACATTTAGGCAAGAAAAACAAAATGCACAGGTATAGTATATGTGGTACTTCACTCAATAGTAGTAACTGTGAGAGGGATCTTGAGGTCCTAGTGGACAACCATTTAAATATGAGCCAGCAGTGTGCAGCAGCTGCCACAAACGCCAACACAGTTCTAGGCTGCATAAACAGAGGGATAGAATCAAGCTCACGTGAAGTGTTAATACCACTTTATAATGCCTTGATAAGGCCACACTTGGAATACTGCATTCAGTTTTGGTCACCACAATGTAAAAAATATGTGAAGACTCTAGAAAGAATGCAGAGGAGAGCAACAAAGAGGATTAGGAGACTGGAAGCTAAAACATGAGAGGAACGGTTGCAGGAACCGTATCTAGTTTAATGAAAAGAAGGACTAGGGGGACGTGATAGCAAAGTTCCAATATCTCAGGGGTTGCCACAAAGAAGAGGGAGTCAAACTATTCTCCAAGTCCCCTGAGGGTAGGATAAGAAGCAATGGGTGGAAACTAATCAAGGAGAGAAGCAACTTAGAACTGAGGAGAAATTTCCTGACAGAACAATTAATCAGTGGAACATCTTGCTTCCAGAAGTTGTGAATGCAGCAACAGTGGAAGTCTTTAAGATGATATTGGATAGCCATTTGTCAGAAATGGTATAGGGTTTCCTGCCTAGGCAGGGGATTGGACTAGAAGACCTCCAAGGTCCCTTCCAACTCTGCTATTGTATTGTATTGTAATGTACTACATCACTTACAGCAATCTCTTCAGTTCCTCCTGCAGCTGTTAAGCCAGGATCATGAATTAAGTCAATATGTAATTTTGACTCCTTGTAATTTCCTGCCGGCTCCCAACAACTAAAGTTAGTGGAGAAACCAGCAGGAAGTTGCAAGAACCAGACAGCTTACAAGCAGGCTGCCAGGTAGGTTAACTGGTGGCTGCTGGGAGGAAGAGAGAATGAGGGGTGTAGAATTGCAACCTTCCTTCAGCACCATTGTAACTTTAACTCCAAACAGTTGCTGAATAAATTAATCAAGGGTTTACCTGTAGTAGTTATTGTGCTGGCCTAAAAAACAGGCAATGACAAAGTACTGCTCTACTGCTGCAAAGAAAGCTGTATGATTTTATTTGTAAGTCACAGGAGTTAAAACTGAAATTGAAGGTGCTTTTCAGTTCAGGCAGAGGGAATGTCCTCCAAAGCCAATTTGCTGCTAATAAGAGTTCCTCTTTGCCCTTCCCCTGTACTGCCTTGTTCAATATTTGGGAGAAAAAAGGCTGATAAAAGAGGGTGGACAGCAAAAGTTGCTTCTATGTGTTTAGCTGCTTGCATATAAATCCAGATTCAAGACTCTTAGATAGAGGCCCACTGCCAAATAAAAATAGCCTTTTTGTGCCCTATATTCGTAAAATCCTACTTTCATTATCCAAGATTTTCAACATTCTCTGAAATAAATATCCGGCCTAGTTTTCCTACAAACATGTGAAATGCCATGATTCGTGTATAATAATAGCAAAAATGTTTGCCATAAATCTAATATTCTTAACACTTGAAAAGAGAATCAAAAGAACTATTATGAATAAAGTGGAACATGTTTACTTTTATTGTACGTTAATTTTAACTGATTTTTTGTACAATAATTTTTAATCTGATGTTTGTACATTGTCTTTATATAAATGTCACAGATATAATACAAAAAGTACCTTTTTCTGTTGTTTTACCCCATCCAGATATGTAACAGGGATACTGCTGATTTATCGAAAGATTTGTGGCAGGTAAGCAGATTGGGCGAACATAGTCATTGAATTTGATAGATCGGACTAGTATTATCAAAGCAATATCATTGTCATATGTGTCTGACATATAATTAGGATGTATATTGATAGCTTTAATCCGACGCTTTATTGTATGACAGTTAACTTCATTAAGATTATGCAAGCCAATTACAACCCTCCAAATGGCTGGGTTCCTAGGACAGAACAAAATTTCAATAGGGATTATTGTTTTTATTATTACATTGCTATTTTGTAACTTCTATGACATGGATATTTTTTTTATTCATTCAGAGTAAACAATAAATCACTAACTATAGATCCCGATTAATATTTGATTATGTGGCTAAAACAAGGATCACTGCAGAAAATAAAATAAAAAACAATAAAAAAAAGTATTCTTTCTACTATCACTCCACTCAAGTATCCCGTTTCCCATTGTAACTCCTGCTCAGATACTTACGGAAAATCTACATGTCTTTTACATAGTTCTTTTACAGCCCTCTCTTAGTGGTAAGCACTGCACAACCTCAGCTCTAAATATTTACTGGTAATTATAGACTGATATGTTGCAAACTAAAAAACAAAATGCAATACATTTTAAAGATCAAAGTGTCTTTGAACTCTATTTTAAAAAATTTGGCTGCACAAAATGTACTGTTTGAATCATCCCAGAAGAAAGGTAAGCTGAGGCCGGCACGGGGAACCCTGTAGCAGAAGTAATGGTGATAGGGAAAATGTTTTGATTGTAAAGGTGGGGATGGAGAATAAGAGGTCTCCTTTATTTTTTTTCTGCATCTTGTCATGCATTGTGCCTTTGTTCTGGTGTGCTGGGATATACGGTTTGTCTGTAGGTAGAATAGGCAAATATTTTTCCTGTCTGTATTTCTCTGGACATCATGTTTGTCTTCTGTGAAATACCCATTTCTCTGAGTGGCCATATAAATCTAAAAAATAAATAATACACATAAAAGCAACTTTGAGTGTCCTCATGGACCACAGGTTAATCATAAGCTAGTGGTATGATACTGTCTCTAAAAAAGGAAAAAGGCCAGACAAATTGGAGCAGATTCAGATGAAGGCCACCAATATGGTGAAAGGTGTGGAAACAAAGCCCTATGAATGGCTGCAAGATCTAAATATGTGTAACTTGCAGAAAAACGAGTGAGCATTTCTTAATTCTACAATCCATCAGCCATTAAATCAAGCTGGCACATCAGCATTTTTCTTTTTCAGAGATCTTCAGGCCAGATGACTATCCACCAAAGATGCTCTAGTGCAGGGGTTTTGAACTTAAGGCCCGGGGGCTGGATCCGGCCCGCAGGATGCTTAGATCTGGCCTGCAGAACCGCCCTGGAAACAGCAAAAGACTGGCCCACAGTGCCTCCGTCAGCAAAAATGAAACTCCGTTTTCAGAGGGTTGCAGGAGGCCGTTGCAGCCCAAAAACAGAGCTCCGGAGCCCTTTTTTGCTGGCAGAGGACTTGGGCCATCACAGGTGCCTCTGACACGAGACATCCTTCCACTAGCTTAAAAATAATGTATGCACGTAGGTACGGATCTATCCATCAGATCTGGAAAACCATGGCGGGGAAGTGAGTGGAAAAGACAGCATGGCGAGCCTATTACTTTTCTCACAGCCCAGCTTTTTGATAATTTTTGTTATTTTTATTTTATTAATATTTGACTAATTGCCCATATTAACAGTAAAAAGATGTCTTAAGAAAGGTAATCCCTGAAATGTGAAGAATTAAGTCTTACATAGATCACTAAGGTGACTCAAATGGCATCCCACTCTGGCAGTGAAAAAGAGATGAGAGAAAATGAAAAATCCCTGTCAGTGATCTGAAGGCTGAGTGCTGCTCAAGAAGCCTTGAGGATGATTTAATAGGAAATACAATTAAGAAACATAAACAAAAAAATGGATAAATGAGACATTTGGATTTGAAAAGATTTGCCATGCTTGAACAAATAACTAAAAGATTTGTCTTCTCGAGATTTGAAGATCCCCAAATAGCAAACTATATGCTGTCAGCATGGAAAATCAGTTTAGTTATTGGAAAAGTCCAGAAAAGGTTACTAACGCTAACTGGATTTGGCTAATATACAGAATTTTAATAGATATTTTCTGAGAATAGGAATCAGGGGAAATGCAGAAAGGGCTAATTTAATTGGATATTTAAACTTAAATAATAAGTGATCAGATTTAAAGCTTTCACATACAATGTGTCAATAGAGATTCTCATCTTAAACTCAAGCAACTGCAAAAGCCAAGAGATAATATATTGGTAATAAAAATCAGGTGGAAAAAGAAAATTCAGCAAAAAGCCCATGGACTAAAAAAGATAAACTGGAATGGAAATCAAGTGTTATATTTTAAGATAATAGCTCTGCAATTATTAAAAAAAGAGGAATAAAATATGAAAAGAGGGTGGGGTTTCTTTTCCATTATTTCAGCAAGAGAAATTGTTTCTAGGCTCTCAAAAATAAATAAAACAAATTATCTAATCAACGTAAATATTTCATGTAGAGAACCACCTGTAATGTTTAAACAACTGATACTATTTATGAGAAGATAATACGAGATCCTTTAACATTCAGGACTCATAAGATGGCAGCTAATTGTAACATGTTTGATGTTGTTTCAATATATTGGGCAATAAGACAAAATACTAAGAACAGCTAAGTATTATTTAGAAATTATTTAGATATAAGATTAACAGCAAAGGGAGGAGCTGGAACTCAGTGTAGCACTCCCAAAGAGATTTGTTGGCAGGTGTAATTAATTCACTGGGAACTCAGTTCACATGTAGTGTAAACAGATTGGAAGGATAAGGCTAGTCAGAGTAAATGGAATAGAAAACCGAGGGGGGGGGNTCTCATGTGCTTTGGAGAATAGTTTGACTCCTTCTTCTTTGTGGCAGCCCCTAAGATATTGTTCTTCAGCTCCGTTCTTCAGATGCTTTAGCCTGCAGTCCTCTAATCATCTTTGTTTGGTCTTCTCTGCACTCTTTCCAGAATAACAACATATTTTTTACATCATGGACACCAAAACTGGATGCAGTATTACAAGGCATTATAAAGTGGTATTAACACTTCATGTGATCTTGATTCTATCCCTCTGTTTATGCAGCCTAGAAATGTGTTGACTTATTTGGCAGCGGCTGCTGCACACTGCTGGCTCATATTTAAATGGTTGTCCACTAGGACTCCAAGATCCCTCTCACAGTTATTATAATCCCTCTCACAAAGTTATTATAATAATTCTTCTCTGGACAAGGAGATCACCCATAAGTTCTCCAGTCAGCTGCTCCTTGCAGGATGATCACAAGATGGCAGTCTCTAGTGCAGTGATGGCAAACCTTTTTTGCCTTGGGTGCCAAAAGCATGTGTGTGTGCTTTCGCGCACGCCTGCATGCCCACACCCATAATTTAATGCCCCCTTGCCATGCTCCTACGCATGCACACGTGACTACCCTCCCTGCTGCACTGCACATCGGTGCATGGCTTTTTTGGAGCCTGGAAGCCCTCTGGAGGCCAGAAATGATCTATTTACTGACTTCTGACTCGCGTGCCTGCTGATATGGCTCCGCGTGCCATCTATGGCACATGTTCCATAGGTTCGCCATCACAGCTTTAGTGGGTTTAAAGCTCTGAGAGACCAATGAATAACCATCTTGTTTTGTAGCTTTTCAGCTGTTAGGAATATTGATAACTTGGGAGAGTTTTCTTCAATTGTTAACAAAAGAAGTTTTAACTATAAGTTTAAGAACTTAATTTTTTTTCAATAAGCAACAGGCTAATTAAAACTTTGCTTTTAAAAAGATACAATTGGACTAAGGTGCCAGATAAGTTTGAAATAAATTCTGGGAATTAATTTTAGAGCCGAGGTGGCGCAGTGGTTAGGGTGCAGTACTGCAGGCCACTTCAGCTGACTGTTATCTGCAGTTCAGTGGTCCAGCCCTTATAAATAGCTTCTCAGACCTTCCTCTCCCCCAGCTGTAAATTGAGTGTGATATA